GTCTTATTATTTACAATGGATAATAATATTTTATCTACATTGCGCCTTGTAACCGAAGGCACAACTCCTCCGCCACCCGTTTTCTAGTTTTTTTTTCTGATTGGAAATGCGCTTTCGGATGTATACGGAATTATTGTTTGAAAATTTATTATTAATTGTTTTAACAAATAGCATTAAATTGGCCCGTTATTTTCCACCATGTTGACTGCTTTTCTTGGGAAGACACAGCATCTGCTTTTTTATTTTCCATGATCTTTATGAAACGCAACGCGCTCTATAAGAGTATCTCTTTCAGAAGCGCTCAAATTAGGAGGCCGTTTCTGTTTTGCAGCTATTAGTGAAACAATTTTTTTAAAAAGTCTGGAATTTCGGTTAGAAACAACACAGACACACAGAACAAAACGAAAAATACAGAGTTGCCGGTTATTGCCTGAAGCTTAGCTAAGAACACGTGAAAAACGGATGGTGCAACTCATTGATGCTTAAGTCGGACTCAAATTTTAAGGTCTATTTAGGTTAGGACGTGCTTAGAAGAAGTTTTGTGCAAGTGGGCATAAGCGACTTGGGACTCTTGGCAGTAATTACTTGTTAATATTTTGCAGCTCCTTTGCGTTCCTTTTTATTTTTCACTTTTGCTTTCAGTTATGTTATTATTTGCTCAGCAAAATTTAAAATGTATAACAAAAAAATTTACATTTTTTAAGCTCTAGCCGAGAGAGAAATTCGAGGGACTCTAAATATTCTTCTTTAGAAACGCACGAACAGACAACGATTGAAATATACCGGAAAACAATGAAAACTGATGTTGTCAAGCGAGGTTATGGAGTAAAGTGTGAGGTTCTATTATGAAACTCAGAGTTACCAAAAATTTTATTAGCTTAATATATTTATCATATTTAAAGAGCTTAATTTCATCTACTTGTTAGTTGCCACGGGAGAAAAATAGATTAAATTGAAACAGTTTAAAATCAATCAGTGCAAGTTCCTTGAATGGGACTACATTGATTTTGTATAGAAAACGTGATTTGTTTTGTGAGTGATTATTCGAAATAACTACTTCGACCTAAACTAGAAACACCTTAAATCCTAACGTGTTCGTCTGAAGCGAATTCTGTAGTCTGCCCATTTCCATTTATCGTACTGATGACTAATAATCTGGAAAGTTTTCCGCTTTGCCAAATTCCCAAAGATGGTTCAATCCGCACCAACTTTCAGAGAACTTCGCCCTTTTAAAGGCGTTAGCACGTGGGTAAATTAATTGGACCCAATCGGATCGAAACTGCAACTTTCGAGGTAAATGGATTCAATGTGTTTTTCATTAATAATCCGAAAGCTTTAGCGGTAATATCCAGTAAATATTTTACAGTCGTTTAAATCGCTTGAAATATTCACCGGCAAGTTACCGGATCAAACCGTTTTATTTATCTTCAATGGAATGACGATTAATAATTAAATGCAAAGCATTCGTAACATTAATTACACCAAACTCCTTTAACCTGATCCTTTTCTCTGAAATGTTATTGGAGCAGTAAAACGCTTAAATCCTGACTTGCCTCCGGAAATCAAGACATTCCCATTCCTACGAATACATTAATTTTGTCAGAAAAGTTTAATTTCATAGACGTGAAATCTGTTTAGCTTAAAATGCTGCTTGCTAAATAAATTCCTCTTTAAATAGTGGGATTTTGCTAAATCTTTCAGTGCAAATCGCTGAATCTCGCTTTCGGGGCTACGCCTCTGCTGTTTTGTTTTACCGATGTTTCACTTGCATCTATTTGGAGCAATTACGCTTTACACAGTGGTTTCGTGAAGAAACATTTACCTTTATGCTCGGGAACTTATCAGGAGCATTTTTTCTTCAAACTGCCATTAAAACAGTTGTTTCAAGACGACTATAAACTACTAATTTAAAACGTTCAAGTGAATTCTCAAAATCCCAAAATACCACCTCTGAGTAATCTCACTAACAATTGTGAAACCGAAGCTTCTTATAATGATAAAATATTAAAGCCCTCGAGCTAAAGAAGCATCCAGCCGGCAGTAAAAGCTTTTAGTTACGCGAACAAGGGCCAAATATAAATAATATTCTCAATTCTTTGCCACGCGGTTTCCTTCACAATCCTCGAAATTGATCAATGTGCACCAACGTACAAAGAATTTTGTTTTGAAAGGACGTAAGCACTTAACACAATTAATTGAATGCATTCGGATGACAATGGCAGCTTCCCATTTAAGTGCATTCAATAAAAATTATAAGAGTCAAAAGAAATAAGCAGACTTACATCTTTACGTGCACGAAAAGA